GAGAGCCTAACAGTGTCACCGCGTTGTGACCACAGGCACTTGCCAGGTCGCAGTGTTAGGGCAGCAGTTTTGTGGGTGTAACTAGAGTGACAGCCTTGGTTCAGCCCGGGTGTCCAGACGAGGATTCTCGAGGCCTTCGGGAGACCGGCCGCGGGAGGAAAGGCCCGTTCCCGGGGTTCCTTGTAAGAACCCCTTTCTCCATACGTGAGCGAGGTCAGGCAGAAAAAGCCAAGAGCCATGGGGTTTCCCTCATCTGTGGGATAAAAAACCTGAAACTCATGGACACAATCAGCAGTGTGGCAGTTGCCAAAGGGGAGGGGTAGGGTTTGGGGGTGAAGGGACCTCATTTATGGTGATGGAAAACGGTTTGACTTTGGGTGGTGGGCACACAATGCCATGTACAGATCTTGTAAGATAGAAATCCACACCTGAAACCTATAGGATCCTATTAACCAATATCACCCCAATAAATTAAAAAAAAGAACTTTCACATCACCAACTGTCTGCCCTGGTCCAGAATCCCGGAGCCCAAAGACGAATTCCTTTCCTGAAGCAACTGTGAGGAGGAGTCCAAATCACTCCAAGGAAGGATTAGATGGAATTAAAAGTGGAGCTCACGTCAATGCAACAACGTTTGTGAATATTAGAGTGTGGGAGACACAGGGACATTCACTGCACTCAGGGAGAGGGGTTTAAAAGTGACATAAAGAAATTGGCAGGAATGACAATTAGGTTGAATTCACTTGTTTTAAATCAGTTTCTCCCAGCCACCGGACACTCACAGGTTGGCAATGCTCACTATGACTTCGGTCTTCAAGTGCACCTGTAATCATTTGCATCCATGCTTCACGATTTACAGTATTTTGATTTTTTTTTTTAAATGAAATTGCTAATGTTTTTATATGATGTGCATTTTTATTTTTTGCAACTCAAAACAAATATTTTAGCCTCAAGTATTTCGATTTGCTTTTTGATATTGATCACATTGAAATTTTAATTTTTTCTAAAAGTAATTGATTGAAAATAAGACTATTCAGTCCTGAGGTCGTTAGTGTGTCTTTCTGCTACCAACCAGTGATTTTGAACTTCATCCGTTAATTTTTAATTACTTCCCTGTTTGCTAATTTATTTTGCTTTTTAAAACCTTAAATGCATTTGAAGCCTCCGGGGCCTGAAATGTGACTTAAAGTTATAATTTGTTACTGATTCATTGTTTCCAACATGTGACTTTGTCCAGCTGTTTTTTGTAAAATTTATTTTTTCTGTTTCCACCAAGCTTTTAACTATGCAAATCTTAGTTATTGTACACATAATAAATCTAAAAGAGTAGATGATGTATTTCGCACTTACATTTATAAAGATCATTTAGCTGACTGCATGGAGCATGTCCCTGCTCAGGTCTAGGTGATTGGTGTGGTAGAGGCCCAACGGAAGCAGTACCACCAGCTGGGAAGGTCCAGGGTCAGACGGGAGGCTGTGGCCCGGCGCAAGGGGAGGGTGGTTACCCAGCGGGTATTTGGGGCCCGCACTGCCTCCTTCAATGCGCACGCCACACCGCAGGGCCTGAATGCCCACAGGCCTCCACGAGCAAATACACAGAGCCAACGAGGGCAGAGGAGGAGACTCGGACACAGGCCTTCCCGTTCAATCCCACTGTTGGGTGGGGTTTTCCAAATTCCGATAGAATGGTCTAGATGTTAAGGTCAAGACAAATCTGTGGACAAAAACAAAAATAGAGACCTTTTGCCCGGCCAGTGAGGCTCAGTGCTTGAGCGTCGACCCTGCACCAAGAGGTCGCCAGTTCGATTCCCGGTCAGGGCACGTGCCCAGGTTGTGGGCCCGATCCCCAGTGGGGGGCGTGCAGGCGGCGGCCAGTCATTGTTCTCTCTCATGGATGATTCTATCTCTCTTTCCCTGTCCCTTCTCTCTCAAATCAATAAACAAAAAATGTTTTAATAAAAAAGACCTTTCACTGGTCAAGGAGTCCAGGGGATGGTTTGCAGACGGAGGGGAGGCTGAGGCGGCCCTGGAAATAGGTCGTCATCATGGCACAGGCTTTGTGCAGAGATGATGGGCCATCGATTGCTGTTGCAGGTGCGAGCCTGTCCCTGCCCCCGAGAGCCGGTTTTCTGTGTCGTGGGCGGCAATTTGAGCTACGATGTTAATTACGGTACAGACACACCCTCCATGTGTTGCTACTTTTTCCTTTGGCGGTCATTCGTTTTAACATCTACCGTATCTCCTGTTAAAGCCAACTTTCCTAGCTCGATGGTACAGCACAGCAGAAGTTCCTGTGTTTTCTGAAGTTTTCAGTTGTCTGTCTTCCCAAATATTACATTTCAGTCTGCTAAGAGTTTGTAAGACATGGATGTTTTCTCTCCAAGGGGCCTCTCCTACTTGGGGAGACCCTCTTTTTCAGGATTTTGTTTGTTTGTTTCTTAACATTTTAAAATTTTGTACCATCCCCCACTTCCTGACAACGTCATTGCGTGGTCAAGTTTTAGAGATGCTTACCCTTCACTGCTGTTTCAATGTATTACACAGGCCGAAGATCTCACAGTATGACGTAGTCCATGTACCACTGGGAACTTGTGATCATTTTGTGTTTTATTGTGTTTTTGTTACAGTGGTCTTCCTGTACATCAGTCTGTGTTAATTTTAAAAAGCCATTTATTTCTATTTCCAATAGAAACATGAGTAGGAAAGTTCTACAGGCTACAGTCAGTGTTCAGAACGGCTTGCTCCTGTGTTCTCCAGTTATGAAAGCTGATGGCTGAGATTGTGTTGTGTTATCAAGAGCACGTTTTAAGATATTTTATGGGTTTATACTGACAGTTCTTGTCTTGGGAGAACATTGATCCGGACACACTGTATCAGTGATGTGCACCTGCGAATAAGTAGCACTAGCAGTGAATGAAAGAGCGAAGGCCCTTACAGAAGGGTCTGTGAAGCTGAGTATCCCCAACAAGGGAGAAAAGCCACAGCCATTGGTACCCCCACGTCTTCCCCCACCGGCCGGGCCCCTGCTCAGGATCCAGAGGTAGCGGCTGAGCCCTGAACTCCTGTGCTCTTGGGACAGAATGAATGTCTCTGACCTTAGAAAATCATAGGCAGTTACATTCCAAATACTTAAAAATGCTTACAAACAACATTTTTAAAGACTTATCTACTTAAAAATAATGAATGTCTTATTGAGCAAAGCATGTCCTTTTTTATAAAAGAAGCAAAGATACTTGTAGACCAGAGATTTCCAACCTTTTTCAACTCTGGGCACACATAAACCCATTACTAAAATTCTGTAGCACACCAGAAAATATAGTATATTTTTTGTCGATCTGACAAAAAAAAAATCGGTATAATTTTGATTGAATCACACCACATGGCTGTTGTCATTTTTTTGTTTTATTTGATGATCTAAGGGCAAACAGGTCAGCGCCCCTGACTAAATAGTCAGGTATTGCCTGTTTTAACAGTTCTTACAGCACACCAGATAAAATTGCTGTTGTAGACCAAACTTAACTATTTTCTATTGTGTCTCAAACAGAGGGTTTTTTTTTTAAAGTTGAATTTAACACACTTTGACTATGTAGTGATTTCATAATTATAAGTGTCAATTATATTAAGTATCTAAATGGTAGAGTTTTTTCTAAGTGTTTCTACAAAGCCAACTTTGTACATATTTAATGTTGTAATAAAATAATTTTAGAAATGCTGAGATTTCCTCCCATTCACTGAAAAAGTTTTAATTCTCAATTTATAAAAGAACAAAACACACTGTACTCTATTATACATATGTATCAAGTTATACCTGTACCCATGCAAAACTTTGGATACATATGTAAAATAATGTGCCCTGGTTGGGTATCTCAGTGGTTAGAGTGCTGTCCTGCTATGTACAAGGTTTCAGCTTCAATCTCCAGTCAGGGCAGATACAGGAATCAGCCAATGAATGCACGGATACGTGCAACAACAAATCAATGTTTCTCTCTCTTCCTCTGTTTCTAAAATCAATAAGTAAAATTTTAACAAAAGATATAAAATAATTACATTCATTCAGAAATACTTTTATTTGGAAATCACTCCTTTTTAAACAATAGGATCCTTAGCTTATTTGAATGCTACGTGAGAGCAGTTGACTTACTGATGTCATGCTCCGTTTGAACCAGAAGTATAGAAACAGTCGCCAGCAATCACCAGGTTTTTCTGTTCACCTCAATGCTGCGTCAGTGAAATTGGAAATTATGTTTAATGGGTGGGCATGGCTTCCTATGGATTAGCTGTCAGGGCAGTTGAATTAGGCAGAGAATCATATCAACACAGGAGCGCGACGGCCAGCAAAGAAAACGGTCCGTGTCCTGCGGAAATGCAGTGAATACGGAACTCGTATTGTTAAAGCTGATAGCTAAAATTGTGTTGCGAATCAGACACGCACGCACAGAACCTTACCGGTGGCTGGGAATCAAACAGGGAAACAGGTTTATTAAATTCTGATAGATTAATACATGATCTTTACTTTTTCCAGTTGTTGGTCCGTCAAACATTGATTAAACATTGGTTAGCCATGTACACCAAACAGCGCTGGCCCCAAGTACATATGATGTGATTATTCATTTACGAATATTCATTATGAATATTCATGTAGGCTGATCTCTTTTTCAGATAATCTATATCCTCCTGTATTAGGATTCCTACCGATAGGAGGTTGTAGAATCGCGTAATTAGAAAAATAATCTAGACATCGTTTAGGAGACTGAATCAAAGCAGAATTGTATTTTTCCCTCTTAACAAAGTGCATTAATTTATACCTTAAAATAATCTTTACAAAAGTACTAAATGGCAGACATAACGCATGAATGCATTCCTCTGTGCGATTTTTAGGCAAAGTGAAAATGTTTTCGCACTGGGTTTGCTCATTTTTGTTCGTCAGAGGTGATGTATGCTCTCGGTCGATCTGAACAGACAGCCGTCCTTTCAATTGTCTTTCTCCCCTTTTCCAACAGTTCTGCCCAGCCACACCTGCGGGAATCCTGGGGAAATACTCAAAGGCGTCCTGCACGGAACGAGATTCAACATCGGAGACAAGATTCGGTACAGCTGTCTCTCCGGCTACGTCCTGGAAGGCCACGCCATGCTCACCTGCATCGTCAGCCCGGGGAACGGCGCATCCTGGGACTTCCCCGCCCCGTTCTGCAGAGGTAGGTCCCACACAAGGGGGTGCTCGGGGACTGCCGCCGGCGCCCGGTACCGGCCCTGGAGCGGGCACTGGACGTTCCCCCGTGATGGAGAAGGGCCCACCCGCTGGTCTTCGCAGGTCGGCTCATTCTGTCCCCAGAGTCGCCGTCTAGGCTGCCCAGGCTACCGTGCTGCCCTGGAAAGTCAGTGTAGACGTAGACGTGCTCCTAATGCCCACATTTCTCGTCTTCCTGTTTCTCACGCTCTGAGCTCCTGCCCCGTTTCCCAGCTGCCCTGCTCGCGTTCACAGCCTTCAGGCCCTCGGCCGATTACTCCTTTTTAATCCTCGTCTCGTCAAAAATGACGAGCAGCCTGATGATTAACCTTCCTGCTTTGAGGGCTCTGTCCACTCCCAGTTCTCTGAGATAAGCGGAGGAAGTGCTATTATTCCGAGTGCTCATGGCTGTGAAGGGGCGGAAGGTGGATTCGTGGTTCCTGAAGCCCCGGGACTTGCCCCTTTTCTGTAATGCGAACCTGACGATTCGAAAGCTCCAGGAAAGGGCGCACTTTAATTCTCACCTCTGCCGTGACTGAGAGGAACGCATCTCGCGGTTCAAGAGCAAGAGCCTGGCTGGCGCTTTGGGGCCTGACGGGACGGACGCCTGAGCACGCGCTTCGCTCGCGTCGTGTTGTCCGCCTCCCACCACACCTGCCGCCGTGCAGACGCTGACACCCATGTAACTGATAAAAGAGACAACATTTTCATGTTTCAAGGGTCCAGCGGCAGTACAAATTCAGACCCAAATCCACGTCTGACTCGCTGTCTAGCTGTATTTTGGATGCAGCCGACGTTCAGTACTGTCCGGTGTGTCTCAGGAGCCGCAGACGTGGGGGAACCGTGTCCTTGCCGAGCGGTGACCTGCTCGACCCCTTCTTACACCAGACACGAGGATAAGCTCAACCTGGACTAAGGACGTAAATGTGAGACTCGAAACCGCAAACACGTACAAGGAAACATAGTAAAATCTCTAACGTGTTTTGTAGCCGTATTTTTTCTGATGGATCTCCTCGGGCAAGGGAAGCAAAAGAAAAGTAAGCAATTAGGGCTTCAGAAAATTTTTTAAAAATTGCACAGCAAAGGGCGTATCAACAGAATGAAAAGACAACCGCCGAACGGGAGGACGTGTTCACCTATGACACACCAGATAAGGGGTCAAAATCCACAATCTGTAAAGAACTCAGGCAACTTGACACCAGAGAAGCGAACACCCAGTGTCCCCTTGGGCAGGGGACCTGAGCAGACACTCCTGGTGTGGGACGGGTAGCTGGGCAGGTGACCAGACAAAAGCGCAACCTTGGCTGTAAGCGATTACACGACAGGGTTATTTTCACCACAGTGTTAATTTTAGTTCCGTCTGTGCTATTTAATGAATGCCTTTCTGCTGCTTGTGGTAAGTGTCCCGTGAGGTGCCCCGATGGAATCATTTCAGTGACCGACCTCCCCGCTGTCGCTGACCCCCTGCCCCCGGGATTCCGATCCCAGCCAGGCAGGGCGTCTGCACACGCGTCCCCACAGGAGCTGTTTCCTTCGGATCCGTTTCACGGCGAGGGGCCCGAGGGAGAGCTGGGACGCGAGCCGTCGCGAGGCGCCCCAGCCCGAGTCCACCCTGTTCAGACGAGCCCTCTGTCCCGGACATGCCTGTCATGAACACTGTCTGCTCCCAACGCCCTCTGTTCCTCCCATAGGCCCATGTCCTGCGTGAGTTCTGGGGTCTGTGATCTCTCTCTGGCTTTTCCCTTACGGCTGTTCATTATTTTCCATACACCTGTTATCAAAAACTGTTGTCCTCAAAACGTAGACTCCGGTCCCATTTCTTTTACATCCATAGTTTCCCCGCAACTGACAGACCCTGTCTGAAGGCACAGCCTCTGGGTACCCTACATGTGCCCTTTCTTCCGTATCTCCACTGCCACCCGCCATGTCCCTGTCCCCCCTGGGTAAGCACGGGGGTCATTCTGTCCTCTGCATTCTCGCCTGCACGACCTTGTTTTCTGAGATACTGCCACTCAGCCTGCTCCCACCCCACGCGGACCTTCTGCAGGCTGGTCCCATGCCGTCCAGTCTGGACTCCCAGCTCCCCTGATGTCCACTCCTGATCTGTGTCCCCGACACACACCTTCACCCTGACCGTCCCCCTTCCCCCAGACCATGTGGGCGACTCCCCAGGAAGTAAGAGTGCACGCTCGTGCACAGCCAGCGATGTGCCCCCTGGGGCGGCGGATTGTGCCCGTCCAGCTGCCAGGGCTCCAGGCCTCGAGCTGCCCCCCACGTGCAGGGTTTTGCTGGGACGACCTGCACGGGCTTTCCTGAAGCCCACGGCCCTCCTCGTCCACGCTGTGGCCCTGCCACCCCCCTGGCCTGGCCCCACGCAGAGCACGGACAGGTGGACCTCGGCGGACACTGCACAGCAGTGGGTTTGTTTTCCCCGAAGGCTTCTTCACCGACACAGCCGTCCGCCCGACCCCTGGCTGCCGCGCACTTCCGCTGTGGCTCCGCGGACCCTCGCTGCCCTCGGGGCCGACAGCTCAGTCGCTGTCACCTCCACCCTCGCAGCCAGATGCCAGTCCCTGCCCCCCATCGCCACCCTCTGGGAATGTCGTTAAGGACAGGAGTCCTTTCGTGTATGTCGTCGTTGTTGCTATTTTAGATGGGAGCTTACCTCCAAGTGTTGTTTCTGTGGTCCGCCAGCCCCCAGGCAGTGATGTCTGCTCACAAGTACGCTGGGGCCGTGTCCGGGGTTCTCCTCGCTGGACCGTGAGGCTGACCCGCAGCCAGGGCCCCGAATGCTGAACTGCCCCCCACGCAAAACGTTACAGAATCAGAAAATGCGGAGTATCCAGGAATGAGCCCCAGACTCGAACATGCAGAAATGAACACCACCAGCTGTCGTGACGGTTTCGTTCCTGCTCCGACTCCCCCAGGACTTTCTTCTTAACGGGGTGATTGTTCCTCATCCAGTCACACGCCTCAGGAAGCCAGCGCTGGTGCGGCAGCGAAGTCGCCTTCTCCGGTTCATCCATTCCGACCTCATCAGGGTCCTTTGGGCCCGATAGATACTGTGTCTTCTTGTTTCAGCATCATTACATTTGGGCTTCAGTTTTGCTTTTTCTAATTCTTGAGCTCCTAAGAGTTAAAGGGACAGTAATTAGATATAATTATTTGGATAACTGGATCATGAAGAAAAAAAATCAATTGTCTAATTTTTACAAATGTGTAGATGGTGGTGTATTGAGGAGAGATGTGTGAGGCTCAGCAGTAGAGGCTTAGATAATGTACAAGAATAAAATGTGTATATTTGCTGTTTCTCCGACGTCCTAGTGAGTATTTAGTTCCAGGAATCGCTTGCGGTCTCTCCCAGCAGGGCCCCCGACAGTGGGCCCCTCTCTCCTTTGTGATGGCTCCTCCCTGGTCCTGAACAGTTCACATCCGACTTCAGGTGGGACATGAACCTGGGCAGCGGCACTGTGTGTCATTTCTAGAGCCGTGATGCTATTTTTTTTTAATGATTTTTTTCTTTATTGATTTCAGAGAGAGAGGAAGGGAGAGGATGAGAGAGACAGAAACATCGATGAGAGAGAACATCGACTGGCCGCCTCCTGCACGCCCCCCACTGGGGATCAGGCCCATAGCCTGGGCATGTGCCCTGACTGGGAATCGAACCGGCGACCTCATGGTGCAGGATTGACGCTCAACCACTGAGCCACACTGGCCAGGCCATGATGCTATTTAAAGAAACATGACATAATGATGCATTTAATACAGTGCATTAGGGTCTGTATTTGGAAAATGCTCCTTAGTAAGAAACCTGCTTTTGGTCCCCAAGCAGTCCCTTAGAAGCGGTCCCTCCTGACATAGGCCCACGGTGAGGTGGGGACATTCCTCGTCCATAGTATCTTCCTCCAGAGAGCATTTCGGTCCGACTCTGCGGTCCTGCGTGGTGTTTTTCTAAGTCTCGGTGTGACCTGTCAGCAGCCAGCTTGACCTGCAGGGTCGCCGTGGGGACGTGCAGATGTCCGGGCAGGAGCCCGCGCTGGGCCCGGCCAGCCTCTGGAAGGACGGCAGGTCCGTGCGGGGGCGTCTGCCCTTCGACAGAACCAGCGCTCAGCACACGGGCGTCAGCTCCGGCCAGAGCGGGGCAGCCAGCAAGCCTTCGTCTTCGTTTTCTGTTTCCGGCCGCCGACATGTTTGGGAAACTCGGAACCACTGGGAAGGAAAGTCTCGGGGAGGCGAGAGGCCGTGGCGCAGACCTCGGTTCAGAGTGGGGCTGTGCAGGGGTGTGTTAGGGACTTAACGTGTGCTGTTTATAGGGCCCGGCCCCCAAGTCTGACCTTCACCGTAATGTCCAGAGTTGCGGACAGTGTGTCTGACTCTGTGAGGTGTGAGGACATCTGCAAGGATCCGAACACAGTGTCATGTGGACGCCAGGGCTCTGCGCTGCCTGTCTGCCCCGGTGCCTCCTGGGGCAGGTGAGGGACACCGCCACCCTCTGCGTGGTCGAGAAGCGCGTGGTCGAGAAGCGCGTGGTCGAGAAGCGCGTGGTCGAGAAGCGCGTGGTCGAGAAGCGCGTGGTCGAGAAGCGTGATCTGCAAGCCACTGAAAACAACAGCAAACGGACATGATGGGCAATGGACGCTGCTTCTCAATAGAGCCCCGACCTGTGTCTGTACAAACACAGGCGTTGAAGTTAAAGACTCACCTAAATGTGTCAAAACACGTTGTCACTGTCATGTGACAGTTTGCAGAATAGAGGATGTGACAGCTGTCCAGCTGTTTTGAAAAAAGAGTTGACTGCCCTGGCCGGTTTGGCTCAGCGGTTAGAGTGTCGGCCTGCAGTCCGGAGAGACCCGGGTTCGGTTCCCGCTAAGGGCACGTACTTCGGTTGCAGTTTGTCCCCGGCCCTGGTTGGTCGTGCGGGTGGCAGCCACTCGATGTGTCCCTTCACGTTGATGTTTCTCTCTATCT